CAATGACATAGTTGGCGACGCACCCCCTCCAACCCCCTGCGCCCCAGCTACCCCAACTTTTAAATCTTAAATAGTGACCCCCCATGTGTGATACGTCGCTGGAAAGCTCTGAAAAAATGCTTTCCAACCATACCAAATAGCATTAAATTTAGTTTAGTAATTATCGTGCAAATCAAAAAATAAACTAATATGATACATTTGAAATCTGTCGTATTTAAAACGCAACCGGCGAACATAGACGAAAAACCTTTTTATGCTTCTTTTGTTTAACATTACGGTCTGTAAGACCGGGTTACTGTTGCTCTTTTTGTGTCCAGATTTTTTCAATAAAAGGGAAAAAATAGCCACTTTATCAGCAATTTTAGTGCCATACTACCTATTTATTTTATTTTTATCAAGTAACCTACGTCCTTGCCGAAGACAGTTGCCTATTATTTTTTTTTTAAAAGGATGAATATGAAAAGGAACTCTTGAGCCTCCAAAGGCGTTACAATGGAGTCCCTGAGGACTCATAGTCGTTTATCTTTTGATTTGCACGATAATTACTAACCTAAATGTAATGCTATTTGGTATGGTTGGAAAGCATTTTTTCAGAGCTTTCCAACGACGTATCACACATGGGGGGTCACTATTTAAGATTTAAAGTTGGGGTGGCTGGGGCGCAGGGGGTTGAAGGGGGTGCGTTGCCAACTATGTCATTGTGATTCCCCCTCCGAATTACCGAAACGGATTTTAATTTTTTTAAATATCTCGTTTATATACTAAGACATGGGGGGTGGTAAGTTTTCAAATTGCCAGGCTTATAAATAAATATAAAATCCGGTTTGTTTATGATTCCGATGCTTTTTGAATTTTGGGTGGTTACATGATGCGTTTTCTGCAGTAAAAGCAAAAGTACTTTGCGTATTGGTACCATTTTTGAAACCGGATTTTCGACGGTAGCGGCTTTGAAAACAAAATATAGGTTAAATATTAAAAAAAGAGCTCACGGTATCTATTTCTAACGCGCGCATATACAACGAAAAAATCGTTTCATTGGTAGTTCAAAATGAAGCAAACGAATCAACAACCAAAAATGATCACAGAGCTTTTTAATCGTTGATACTATGGCTACACTCCTAGCAGCAAAAATCGTAACTCCTTAAGCATAAAATTCCTAAAATAGAATTAAGAGTTTACCGACAGCTTTTGGAAATTTACAGGATTCACTGCACGACAAACAAGAAAACATGTTTCCCCTGACGTGGCGAAGGAGCACACTAGAATAACTCATTAAATCCTTTCACTTGGCGGAAGTGCTATTAAAACCATGCTTGTATAAGGAGAGGGCCTATTAAAAACATCTAATAACCTACAAAACAAAAGCGTTACAAAATGGAGATAGCAAAAGAGGGCATCAAGACAAATTTTCATCATTTAACTCGTGTCATAAAAAATTCATGCCGGAAAGGATCAGTTGAGTACAACATTAATAATGCCCACATTGAAAATTGATACAACGTTAAATTTCCACTAGGGCAGTAACAAATTTAAGGGATGACAAATGCGCTTCAGAAACACTTCATGGAATAATTCCAGAGCATTAGTAGATAAAGTAATTCGGTGACCTAGTGACACACTTCTTCTACGGCCGGGAAACTTTTTCATCGTCATCAATATTGATAAGTTTCGCCTAAACCTACACGTTTCGAAATTTTCATTCACCTTAATTTTATTTCCCTTTAGTAGCGAAAATGGTGTAAAGGGAACCGAAGTAAATTAAGTGAGAGAAATAAGGAGGTGTCGGGTTAAGCGTTTCTCAATACGCATTCCTTCACTTGACTTTTACGTTTATTGCGTCAATACATTTTTACAAAGCCAAATGCCGCCGCCGTAACGGCCTTGTTTAAGTCGTACGGTGCGCGAACTGTGCGAGAATTTGTAAAATGGAAACGAGAGGAATGCAAATGCGCGTTTTAGTAAAATTTGATGTCTTATTCATGAACTCCCATCCATAAAATGTAATTGCAACAAGTGTTGAAGGGCTGTATATCCTTAATAATTGATAATTTGCGTTATGACGACGTGAAATGTACAAAACGCACCCTGAAAGGCTATTCTGCCGTGCCTTAAGTGCCAGGGGATGAAAATCCAATTAGGACGACAATGAATATTGCTGAACCATTGCTAACAATGGTGGGGAATTTAAGAATATTGGACGGTTTGATACCGTATAATTCCCCTCCTCCATCTTAACCCAGTCAAAAGTACAAGGTGACCCCCTATAACATCTAATTAAAATTAAACATTCTATTACAGCTTTTGCAGCCCTTTACAAGGACGACATAAAACGCGAAAGTGGCCACGGATGTTGGGAAAACAACCTTGTGCGTTACTTCGCTCGTATTGCACTTAATACCGTAATAACTATATAAGTAGGCCGTAATAGCATTTATGTCTTTATCCGTAAGCCTTTATTGTAGCACAGATAAAATCATAGACTCCGAGTGGTTGAAATAAGAGATAATAATAATAATAATATTGCCTTTATTTATCCCCAAAAACAAAACAGAAATAAAAAATATACTTCTACAAGGCGAAGTTCAGTTCGGCGGAGACTACCGCCGTCTGTTCTTCCACTTAACCTTGGAACTATTCCGACTGTTACTTACATTGAAAAATTAAACAAACTACAATATAAAAATAAAATTAAAAAAAAAAATAAAAAATAAAAAATAAAAAAATAGATTTTTAGAATCATTTATTAACCAAGCCCGCAGAGAAAAGGTACGATAATTTGGTTCAGTTTAAAAGTGCTAATGCCAAGTTTCGGATAAGCGTATAGTTGAAAATGCACTCCAAATCGGAAGAGTAAAATTGCGCCGTTAATGATACCTCAACTCTCGGAAAGCTGTACAATTTTAAGATCTTGTTGGTATTGGACGGTTCACCGTAACGTACCCACGTAAAAATAGTGCTAAATTCAAGTTAAACTAATTGAAATAATAGAAATGATGCTGATGTAAATGTTTCTGTTTTAGTTAGAATTTAAATTAAAGGACATTTAAAGTTACTGAAATTTATAAAGATCATAGTCGGACTCAATTATATAAGAATAGTAAAGTGCATTTTGTTACGGATTGAAATTTTTTCCTATTTCGTTGGTCGAACTAAACTACAGAAAGTTGCTTTAATGAAAATTGTAATTTTCAAAT